GTGTGCTGGTGGCACAGGAGGGCCAGCAGGGCAGCCTGTGGTGCGTCTATGTCGCTTCCATGTGACTTCATCATCCCTCTGCAGGGGCGTCTGCCGTCCCGCCACGGAGGAAGGGTCCCCGGGAGGATGCGCCTGGCTCGAGGTCGTACAGCTGTGACTGTCGGCCTCCAGGACGCACAGCATAGAGGCGGGGAGCCCGGCACGTAGAGACCCCGGAACACGAACACCGCTGGGGGTCAGCACAGACACGCCTCCAGGGACCCGCGGAGGGCTGTGCCTGCCCCGCGAAGTGCAGCCCGTTCCCCAGCCCCCATGCCGCGTGGTCTGATGGTTCTAACGGGACCTCAGCGTTCTCGCTCGGCCCCAGCGCGGCCTCGGAGCAGGGCCCGTGCTGTTTATGGATTGGGCGGCACGCCACGTGGGTGGTGCTCACCACCTGGGCCCTGACCAGTGACGGTCCGTGGCCATGGCGTGACTCCGACTCCCAGCCGACTGTCTGTCTACACTAGTCCTGGCACACAGGCGTTTGCCGGGCCTCTGCCCTCTCCTCCGCGCAGATGGCTGTCCTGTCTCGCAAGCTGCAGAACCACCTGAAAGCGCTCTTGCATCTGGCGCTGTGTGCCGCAGGTGGCTGAGTGGCATGCGGCCCGTCCACGTCGGACAGTGGGGCCAGCCCTCCCTGCCACTGCCCAGGGAACAGGGAAGGATGGCGAGCCGCAGCTGAGACCCCTTTCCCCCCTGTCCTCAGGGCCGCTGCTCTGAGGCCACGAGGGCCATGTAGTCTAAATCTGGTCGTGGTGCTGCCAAAGAAGCCGTAGGTCTGTCTGAAAAGTTTATGAACATGGCTTTTTATAGATAGCATCTGCACAAAGAAACAGGATGCAAACGTGTCCTCATCCAGGCGAGGGGAGGCTGGGCGGTTTAGAGCTGTGAGCAAAGCCAGCGTCGGCCTGGCCTTCCATGGCCCAGAGGAGGGTGCCGTCTGCTGGGGCCCGTCCTGGCCCAGGGCGAGGCAGAGCAGCTTCTCGTCCCACCGTGACTCATCCGCATCCGCGTGGGGCCTTCAGAGGGCCCTTCCTGCCCCCCTCGCCCTCCCCTCCCAGCCCCCCTCTCCTGCCCTCCTTGGCTCTCTGTCTCTGTCCGCACCCCCTCGCGATTTGAAGACTAGGGTGTCACCAAGTCCCCGAAGGTGCCCCATGGGTGCCGTTTGCCCAGGTCGACGGCGGGAAAGAGCCCCAGTGTCTTTCAGAAAAGAAAAAGGATTTGCAGCGGCGAAACTGTTAGGGCTGTGGGCCCCCCGGCCCCCGGGTAGAGACTTGGCCTGGCGCCAAGTCTCGCCCTCCGGCACCTCAGCCCGTGGATGAGCTCTGTTAGGCCTGCCCTCCCCGTGGTGCCCCAGGCGTGCCCTCTGTGGCAGCCCTCCCTCCTGTCTCTGGCCTCAGAGGTGGGAGCCGGTCCAAGGCCGAGGCACTGTGGGTGTCCCCTGCTTCCCAACCTCACGTCCCTCTGGTCACTCCTCACGGGGACACAGGCTAGCTCTGGGTGAGGCTTTCGGGGTGAATGAGAGCACCCCTCCACCTCAGCCCTCCACGCAGGGCAGGCCTGGAAATGAGAGAGGGTTTCCCATTCCGGGTCACGTTATGGTGGCAGGACTGCCGAAGGTACCACATCTGCTTTCGCACAGCAGGGGGTGCGCCGGTTCCTGCCCAGCTGAGTCCTCCCCCTCTCAAAATGGAGAGCCTGTAGGGATGAAAAGGGGGAGGGTAGGTTGGGGGGAGCCTGCAGGGTGGAGAGGGGAGGGTAGAGTTGGGGGGGCC